TTTTTAACCCTTCCTCTAAATTATTTGTTGTATGACAATAAATTGATGTCTTCATCTATTACTGGACTTCATAGTTTAGTAGCCTGAGCAAAACACTTCATAATGGGATATCTTTGGAATCAGTGGATCAAGTTCTTCCAGTTTTTACTCTGAACCACTGCTTCAAATTTAGTTTGTATGTAGGCTTTCCAGATAAGCAATATTTAAAATACCTTTGCAGTGTGTGGATATTTTGCAGCCATCTCAGTAAGAGCATGATTTGTCCCTAATGTCCTTAGATGCAATATCCCTCTCTCCCAGTGTCATGTAGCATATGCTATAATTTTTGTCACCTGAAATGGCTCAAAAGCATAAATAAAGTGTTATTGGGTACTATAGAACATTATGCCCTACTGTTGTGCTCTCAGATTAAAGAGAAAGTCTCAGCGTGGCAAAGAAGATGTTGGATTTGTGTCAGATTTCAACAGAACAATTCCAAAGAGAGTTGAAAGCTCACACTTCAGTTAAACACTGAGCTCCTCTCACCTGTGAAGGCAGGCTGGGTTCGCAACTCCCTTTGTACATCCCTGTCACCGGAGAGCTTTCTACAGACTATCACACACATCAGTGGAAGTGAGCTGAATTTACAGAATGTAACAGCAATCTAACGTAAGTTTGAACAGAAAAAAAGCCCTCATCACAAAATGAGACCTAACAGTGCACTAGCAATATACATTGAAGTTCATTTGGTTTAGGCACAATAAGGGAATAGATGCAGAGCAGGTAGCAGTGGATGCAGAAGAGGAGGAGAGGTTTGCTTATGTAGAGAGGAAACAAGCCATGCTGGCTTTATCCTATGCCATTGATTTCATCCTTCTTCCTGTGAATTTTGTTGTTCCAAGATATTTTTCTTCCAAAACAGCTGCCCATCTTTACAGCACTAGGTGTTGATCAGCCTCTCTAGGCCCTTAGGTAGTTCCCATCACCATAGTACCAGAGGCATTCAGAAATGGAAAAAAGAGGGTAGCATACCAATCTCTGCCTCTGCTTCACTTTGCCTCTAACCCTCCTGTTACAGGTTTGCGTGGCAAGGTTTTGGTAGCAGGGGGCTATAGGGGTGGCTTCCTTGAGAAGCTGCCAGAAGCTTCCCCCATGTCTGATAAAGCCAGTGCCAG